CAGGGAGGGAAGTGGAGATACTTAACCTCAGATATTTGAAAGACCTTACTTTATTATGTGTTCCAGTAGGCAGAAGTAGGGATACTGGATTAGGCTAAAATAACGGCTCATTGACTAGGTGCTAAAAATAGCAGATAATTGTCACAGAGAAAGATATTTAGCTGGAAATGTTTTTTTTTCCCCCCATTCTGATAAGTTCAAAATTCATCAATGTTAAGAATCAAACAGCACTTGAATACTCTTGGAATGGTGTCATCAAAGCCAATTAAATCCCATTTTTTTAAGACTAAGAAAATAAAGATAAAATCTTTTTTTTTCATTTTTTTTAGCCCTAGGCAACATAGAGAAACAATTGTAAGATGTAATTTTATGATCTCTTATGCCTTAGAGTCCCATGAAATAAGAGTTGAACTATTTTCCAACAGGAGAGTGCTAAACAAGGCAAACTATTCCCAGGTTTATAGTGGCAGCCCATTTTTTTTTTTTTTTTAAGATAGGAAATCTGTCCCATAATATGTTTTTACCCTTCATTGTGTTTATTTTGGAACTAAACATGAGTATTTCTGAGAAAACTCAAGAAAGACATAATATAATCAGACTGATTTTGATATGCACATTCCATCTATTAGCATGAGAAAAGTGGTATGAATTTAAAAAAAAAATACAAGAGAAACAAAACACAAAAAGTAGTTCTGGCAAGATGGCGGACTAGGCAGAAAGACTGCACACACAGACCCTCTTCAACAAAGTAAAGGGGAATGAATTAACACAGACACAGAAGATAATCCTGGACACCTGAGCCTTGAAGGGAAGGATATAGAAGTGGACTAAACCCCAACTAGCAGAAGAATCTGTCTGAAAATACCAAAAAAGGAGACATATGGAGCTGCGGTCTGACAGCTATCCTGAGCAACCCTGATGGCACAGACAGCTCGGAGATTCTGAGTGCTGATAGGACTAAAGAATTAACTTAAAAATCAGCCACGCTAGCCAGGGACTGCACGGAAGACTGCTCCAGTGGCTGGAGAATAAATGGAGAAAGTGAAAACAAAGGTGGGCAGAGATGTGGACTTTTGCTGGTCTGGAGGGCGCCACCATTTTGAAGGTCTAAAAGTGGCTATTTTAGATATTTAAAGAGACAGCGCTCTCGCAGATTACCAGGGCTTAAGAACACATTCTGCTTTATAGAAAACCCAAGGACCCTCTGGACCTGCAAGACTGAAAATTTTTTGAAGGTTATTCAATTGAAATTTGTGTCTAATTGAGTGGGAGACAACAACAGTCCCCATAAAACACAACTACTCCCACAACTCCTGCAACTTCACTTACTGAGCAAGAGCCACTACCTCCTTCTTCACCAATGGGCCAATGATAAAAAACCACCAAGAAGAGCCAGAATCACCCTCCACTGCTCTTCACAGTTAACAGAGATCTAAATACAACAACACCATGATTCCTCGGAGACAACAGATCATCACAATCTACACAAAGAAGCAGGATAAAGTGGTAGAAACAAGGGAGCAGGATACAGATCCAGAACACATCTTTGAGGAAGAAGCACCATTGGAACTCTCTGATAAGGAATTCAAAAGAAATATCTTTAGGATTGAGAGACAGACCAAAGAAAATACAGAAAAACCTTACTAGAATTTTGGAAGAAAATACAAGAACAAAATGACAAAATAAATGAAAAATTAGAAATGATTCTAAATCTACAGATGGAAATCCAAAAGATTAATACTAAATTGTCAGAAATAGATAACACATTGGAAGTGCAAAGGAGTAGAATTGATGCAATGGAAG